CAGCTACTTGGGAGGCTGAGGCGGGAGAATCGCTTGAACCCAGGAGGCGGAGGTTGCAGTGAGCCAAGATCACGCCATTGAACTCCAGCCTGGGTGACAGAATAAGACTCGGTCTCAAAAACAATAAAAATAAAGAAAAGAAAAGAAAAAAGATTGAGGTTATGAGTCCCTTCCATTTTCCAAACCACCTTTCCAGCAGGCCCATCAAGGGGCCGTATATTCCAGAGTTTACAGCTAATTCATTTGCTATGTCACTAAAGCCCTGTCAGGCTTTCGTGATGGTCGCATAGGGGCCTGTATTATCTGGGATCAAAGTAACGATGCACCTTTTTTTTTTTTTTTTGAGACGGAGTCACGCTCTTATCGCCCAGGCTAGAGTGCAGTGGTGTGATCTCGGCTCACTACAACCTCCGCCTCCCGGGTTCAAGCTATTCTCCTGCCTCAGCCTCCCGAGTAGCTGGGATTACAGGCGCCCGCCACCACGCCCGGCTAATTTTGTATTTTTAGTAGCAACAGGGTTTCTCCATGGTGGTCAGGCTGGTCTCGAACTCCTGACTTCAGGTGATCCACCCACCTCAGCTTCCCAAGGTGCTGGGATTCCAGGTGTGAGCCACTGTCCGTGCCCGGCCATGATGTGCATTTATCTTTTTTTTTTTTTTTTTTTTTGAGACGGAGTCTTGCTTTGTCACCCAGGCTGGAGTGCAGTGGCACGACCTCCACTCACTGCAAGCTCCGCTTCCCCGGTTCACACCATTCTCCTGCCTCAGCCTCCCGTGTAGCTGGGACTACAGGTGCCCGCCACCACACCGGGCTCATTTTTTTAAATGAATTTTTAGTAGGACGGGGTTTCACCATGTTAGCCAGGATGGTCTCAATCTCCTGACCTCGTGATCCGCCCATCTCGGCCTCCCAAAGTGCTGGGATTACAGGCGTGAGCCACCGCGCCCGGTCCATGATGTGCATTTAAAAGTAGCCTCCAGGGTCCCAGCAACATCGGCTCCCCAGCCGCAGAAGCGACCCCGAGCAGGATTAGAATCGGTAGCGGTGGGGACGTGAATAGAGATTTGCACAGGGTTACGTGGTTGGAGCTGGCAATTAGAGGGGGTGATTCCTTTGGCAAAGTGGATGTGGGGCTTTAGAGCGGTGCAGGAAGCCTGTGCAGAGGTGCAGCCTGGACGCTGGGTGCTGCGGAGACAATTTTCCCAAGAAGCGCAGGACGGGAATGGCGGGAATGGCAGTAGTTTCTCACACAGGGCACCAGCTGAGGTATTGATTCTCACAAGAGGGCATTAGCTGCGGGGCTCTGCGCGCAGACCCTGACCCAAACGACAGATGAATAAAACGTATACTGATGGCGGGGGGCGCGGTGGCTCGCCTGAAATCCCAGCACTTTAGGAGGCTGAGGCGGGTGGATCACGAGGTCAGGAGATCAAAACCAGCCTGACCAACATGGAGAAACCCCGTCTCTACTAAAAATACAAAATTAGCCGGGTGTGGTGGTGGGTGCCTGTAATCCCAGGTACTCCGGAGGCTGAGGCAGGAGAATCGCTTGAACCAGGAGGCGGAGGTTGCGGTGAGCTGAGATCACACCACTGCACTCCAGCCTGGGAGACAGAGCGAGACTCCGTCAAAAAAAAAAAAAAAAAGGAAGAAAGAAAGAAAAAGATTAAAGCTCAGGTACCACGGTTTAAGGTAAATACCGTTGGGGCAACAGTTTTGGTCAACCTCCCCAGAAGTGGGCTGTCGGGCTCCAAGGTTAATGGAGGTGAGGTAAACAGACTTAACGGGAAAGCCTCTGTCGTCCCTCGTATTTACCGGATGAACTAAAGCTCTAAGGTAAGAACTGGCTGCCTTCAGCCTGTTCAATTATTACAAGCTATGGAACCTTTCAGCCTTCCAAAAGGTTTGTGACTATTTTCTTTTTCTTTTTTTCTTCTTGAGACGGAGTCTTGCTTTGTCGCCCAGGCTGAAGTGCAGTGGCGTGATCTCGGCTCACTGCAAGCTCCACCTCCCGGGTTCACGCCATTCTCCTGCCTCAGCCTCCCGAGTAGCTGGGACTACAGGCGCCGCCACCTCGCCCGGCTAGTTTTTTTTGTATTTTTTTTAGTAGAGACGGGGTTTCACCGTGTTAGCCAGGATGGTCTCGATCTCCTGACCTCATGATCCACCCGCCTCGGCCTCCCAAAGTGTTGGGATTACAGGCTTGAGCCGGCAGCTGCATATTTTCTTATCTGTTTAAGTCTGTTTAAGAATTCCGTGGGCCTGGCCGGTCGTGGTGGCTCACACCTGTAATCCCAGCACTTTGGGATGCTGAGGTGGGTGGATTACGAGGTCAGGAGATCGAGACCATCTTGGCCAACATGATGAAACTCTGTCTCCACTAAAATACAAAAAATCAGCTGGGCGTGGTGGCGGGCTCCCGTAATCCCAGCTACTCGGGAGGCTGAGGCAAGAGAATCGCTTGAACCTGGGAGGCGGAGCTTGCAGTGAGCTGAGATCGCAACACTGCACTCCAGCAAGACTCTGTCTCAAAAAAAAAAAAAAAAAAGCCTCCACAGGCCCTTCATGTTTCCCTTGTTGTATGTTAAATGCTCAGGAAGTATTTTGGGTTCGCGGATCTGATTCCCGAATCCCTTTAATGATCATCTCCAAGATGGCTCGTGTTTTCTCGGTGGGTCACGTTGTCATCCCACCAACGGTCCTTGGCCAGGAATTTACGCTCTGCTGCAAGGACATTCTGACCAGGCATGTGTTCATGCTCCCGGACTAACACAGCGGCCTGAGAATCATGGCTGTCTCTTCTCCTTAGATGAGAGTACCGAGGATACACATTAATTCAGCCCGAGCGTACAGCTGTGGCCCCAGAAACTGGTCAATTTGATCCGCGACTCCAAAAGGGTTATCTGACAGTGGTGTGCGTTCTTTTTTTAGATTTCTAACCTCTGAACTGGTTAAAGGGACGTTTACCAAGCCAATATCCCTTCCTTCCCGTGGTCCTTCCCTTAAGGAAAAAAGGGCTGAGGCGGGCTTTTTGAGGGGGAGGGAAAAGGAAAGTTTTCTGGTTTTTTTTTTTTTTCTTTTTTTTTGAGACGGAGTCTCGCTCTGTCCCCCAGGCTGGAGTGCAGTGGTGCGACCTCGGCTCACTGCAACCTCAGCCTCCCGGGTTCAAGCAATTCTCTGACTCAGCCTCCCGAGTAGCTGGAATTACAGGCGCCCGCCACCATGCCCGGCTAATTTTCATATTGTTACTAGAGATGGGGTTTCACCATCTTGGCCAAGCTGGTCCTGAACTCGTGGCCTTGTGATCCACCCGCCCCTGCCTCCCAGAGTGCTGGGATTACAGGCGTGAGCCAGGGCGCCTGGTGGAAAGTTTCGAATATCCCTTTGGCATTGTTCTACCACCTGTTGGAGCTTTCCTGAGGAAGGGGCATGTTCCAGTGGCTGTCCAGCGGGGATGTGGGGGGCAAGGTCCAGGTGGCAAGGTTCTAGGGGGGAAGGGACAGAGGGATGGGTGGGGGAGGGACTGAGTGTTGGGTTTGGGGAGGAGGGTGGGTGTGGGAGGGATAGAGGGGTGAGTGGAGGAGGGACTGAGTGTTGGGTTTGGGGAGGAGGGTGGGTGTGGGAGGTATAGAGGGGTGAGTGGGGGAGGGACTGAGTGGTTTGGGGAGAAGGGGTGGGTGTGGAAGGGATGGAGGGGTGGGTGTGGAAGGGATGGGGGGTGGGTGGGAAGGGACTGAGTGTTCGGTTTAGGGGAGGAGGGGTGGGTGGGGGATGGATGGGGGGTGGGTGGGAAGGGACTTGTCTCACCCACCTCTGTCGCCCCAATAGCGACTTGTCTCACCCCCACCTCTGTTGCCCCAATATTGACTTTTCTCACCCCCACCTCGGTCGCCCCAATATTGCCTTGTCTCACCCCCACCTTGGTCGCCCCAATATTGACTTTTCTCACCCCCACCTCGGGCGCCCCAATATTGCCTTGTCTCACTTTGGCCGCCCCGGAACTTCCCGGGTCCTTCCCACCCGCGTTGCTCAGAGTCCGGGTTCACTCGTCACCTCGGGCGGGACCCGATCCTCCGCTCCTGAGGGCCCCCCAGTGAAGCAGTGGGACGCGTCTCCCCAAAAAGGTGACCGCCAGCCTGTCCCGAAAGAGAATGGGATCCAAATGGGAAGTTTGGGGGCGGCGAGCCGGCCCCGCAGAGAGAAACCTGCACTTCGGAAACGTCTCGGAGAGACCCCTTTACTTGTGCGGGGGGCGCCGCCTGCGCGGGGTGCAGCCGCCGGAGCACACGCGACAAAGGCAGGGGCTCCTGTCCTCGGTCCTGCCTCTGTCGGGAGTTCTGTCCTCTGCCCGCCATCTAAGCGGACCCCGGTTGGCTAAGACTCAAAACTTTTTAAAAATGGGGTAAACGCGCCCCCTGCGAGAGAAGAAGAAGGGGCGGGGACGAAGCGGGTAGGGTTGATTTACAACTTTTGACCTGGAAGTTGAGTTTCTTAACTCAGTTTTCCCAACCAAATGGCGAACAGGACGTTTATACTAAGAAATCATTCATTTTCTGAGATCCAGATTCGAGTGCCTTTTAAGTATTTTTACTTGGGGCGGAGGAGGTCGCTTCCTCCCGCCTAATTTATTAATCTGTTCACATAGATATATACATTTTTAAAGGCAGAGAGGGTGGGTCTCGCCATGTTGCCGCGTGTGGTCTCGAGCTCCCAGGCTCAAGCGATCCTCCCGCCTGGGCCGCCCAAGGCTCTGGGATTACAGACGTGAGCCACAGCGGCCGGCCCGGGTTTCACTCTGATCAAATCTGGGTAATACACTCGGAACGCTTCAACCCCGTCGGCCGCACCGCTCCGCGCTCATTCCAGCTTTGAAAGGCGGAGGAACAAATGCGCAGGCTCCAGCCGCGTCCCCGCAGGCCGCGCTCCCGTTTCCTAGCAACGCCGCGTCACGTGCGCCGCCGCCCGGCTTCCGTAGCGGGAGCCGGCGCGTGCGCGCGTGCGTGTGTGCGCATGCGCAGGCGGGGTGACCGGCGTGCCCCGCGCGCCCCGCCCCCGCGATGACGCCGTGCGTGCGCGCGCCCGGTCCGCGCCCCCGCCGGTTTTTATAGCGGCCGCGGGCGGTGCTGGCGGCGGTTGGTGGCTGCGGGGCCGGCGAGGAGGAGACATCATGGCGGCTACACTGTTCGTGCTGCTGAGTTTGGCGCTGCTGGGCGCCCACGGAGCCTCAGGGGCTGGTGAGGAGCGGGCCGGGGGCGGGGGTGCGGTCCTGCAGGGGCCGGGAATGGAGGCCGCGGGCCGAGGCTGCGGTCCGGACCGGAAGCCAACGGGAGCGTGGGGCCTCGGCGCGGGGCCGCCTGGGGTGCGAAAGGCCGGCCCCGGGGGCTTCCCGCGCCAGCGTGGAGCTTGGGGGTGAAGTCCCAGGGTTTGAGGGGGGCTGGGGGTCCCTCCCGGCGCTGCCTGCCAGGCTCCCTCGGGCGTTGCGCTCTCTGTGTGTGGGCGTGAAGCCCCTGCTTGGGGGCGGGAGCCAGGGGGTCCGGCCAGGCCGGTCTCGGTCGAGGGAGGTGGGCGTCCTGCTTTTCGGTGGCCTGGGGTTGGGGGATCCCTGGCAGAGGTGGAGGCTCTCGCCTGATATCTGGGCGAGGGCGTCTGCGAAGGCGGCTGGAGGTGGCCCGCCCGTCCCTCCGGCCGGGAGAAGGGAGACCCAGAGCCTGGGTGAGCGTCCCCTTTGGCCTGGAGTCGGGGCAGGGGCTGGGCTGGTGCCTGCCCGACCTGTCCTGCTGGGACTGGACTCCGCAGGTCGGGGGAAAACGGCCTGAGGGTGGAGCCTGGAGACGGGCCCACCCTGCCTGCGCGTGTTAGGGTCAGAGACCCTCCCCGGTGTGTCTGGGGCCCCCGCCAGGGCCCGCGCTGCCGGGAGCGATCGTCTTGGCGCTCTCTTCTGGAAAAGGGGCTTTTGTCCTCCAGGCGCACACGGAGGCTCTGAGTGGGTCAGCCCTCCGGATCGGGAAGGGATTACCGTTCTTCACGGGATTTAGCCCTGGCGTCTTGCCTCGGGTGTGCACCTGCCCCCGGGTGTTCTCCCAGACTCTTAAGCCCTCGCAGGCTCCCTCGAGGCGCCCTGCCTGGAAGGGGAGGCAGAATCTCCCTCGCGTGGCGCCAGCCTTCTCTCTGATTCTGCCTTGCTTCAGGACACAGAATGTGGTGGTCTCTGAACGCCCCTCCTTTACAGGCGAGGAAACGGAGCCCTGTGGGGAGTCGAGGTTCCAAGGTCACAATGAGGGGCCTTGGCCACCCCATTCAGCGCAGGAAATAGTGAGAAAGTGGTTTTTAGCAGACTCTGACCGGGCATTAGGTTTCCAGTGCTGTCTTAGGAGGGGCCGTGTGGGGGTGGGCGGACGCGGGTGGAGAGTGCGTTTGGGAAATGGATTGAGGTGTGTTTTTCCGGGAGAAAAGCATGACAGCCTTTCTTGCTTGATAGAAAATTTCTTCCTTTATTGAGACCCCCATTTGGTTCTGGGTTAAAGATTTATAGTGAGGCTGGGTGTGGAGGCTCACACCTGTAATCCCAGCACTTTGGGAGGCTGAGGTGGGTGGATCACCTGAGGTCAGGAGTTCAAGACCAGCCTGGCCAACATGGCAAAACTCCATCTCTACTAAAAACACAAAAATTAGCTGGGTGTGGTGGCGCACGCCTGTAATCCCAGCCACTCGGGAAGCTGAGGCAAGAGAATCGCTTGAACCCAGGAGGTGAAGGTTGCAGTGAGCCGATATTGGACCACGGCACTCCAGCCTGGGTAACAGAGGGAGACTCTGTCTTTTAAAAAAAAAAAAAAAGGCCGGGCGTGGTGGCTCACGCCTGTAATCCCAGCACTTTGGGAGGCCGGGGCGGGTGGATCACGAGGTCAGGAGATTGAGACCATCCTGGCTAACATGGTGAAACCCCGTCCTACTAAAAATTCAAAAACTTAACTGGGCGTGGTGGCAGGTGCCTGTAGTCCCAGCTTCTAGGGAGGCTGAGGCAGGAGAATGGTGTGAACCTGGGAGGCAGAGCTTGCAGTGAGCCGATATGGCGCCGCTGCACTCCAGCCTGGGTGACAGAGTGAGACTCTGTCTCAGACAAAAAAAAATTATAATGACTGATGTGTTGGGAACAAGGTGTAGAGCTGGAGGGTCTGGGCTCCTGAAGGGTCAAGAGCAAGGGCTTGGAGCCTCTCTCCTGGGCACTGAGCCATAGGGGGCCTTGGGCAGAGGCTGAGGAGGGAGCTCCTTTTTCCAGAGGCTTTGCCAGCTAACTCCTGACCCACGTCTGAGATTTCGTCTTCCTGGTAACCGAAGTGGCCCTTTATCGAATGTCTCCTGGGCAAGGACCTGGCCCCAGCACTGCGACCAGCTCTGTGGGGAGACACAGATAGGAGCCCCCGGGCGAGGTGAATGTGGGAGATAAGCCACCGCCTCAGCCCTGTGGAAACAGCCTCAGTGGTGGGAGCCAGCCAGGCTTGACTGGGTTTCAAGCGCAGCACGAGGCTCCCACATTGAGCTAATTTGGACAGCCAAGTGGGTGAAAGACCTTTGGTCCATCCCTGCCGCGTAGCGCAGGTCACGGTTTTGTTCCTCTTGTGCAGGAGACTGAGAAGCGTTTCTCCTCATCGGAAAGCTTAGCCCGGGGCTTACTGGCCAGAGCTGCGTGTGGAGTCCGCAGTGCTGGCAGCGCTGCCGTGCCGCCGTGTGTGTGTGTGTGCGTGTGTGTGTGTGTGTGTGGGGTGAGAAGTGGGTCTGTGTGTGTGTGTGTGGTGAGAAGGTGTGTGTGTGTGTGTGGTGAGAAGTGGGTCTGTATGTGTGTGGTGAGAAGTGGATCTGTGTGTGTGTGTGTGTGTGGTGAGAAGGGGGTCTGTGTGTGCGTGTGTGTGGTGAGAAGGTGTGTGTGTGTGTGTGTGGTGAGAAGTGGGTGTGTGTGTGTGTGTGTGGTGAGAAGTGGGTCTGTGTGTGTGTGTGGTGAGAAGTGGGTCTGTGTGTGTGTGTGTGTGTGGTGAGAAGTGGGTCTGTGTGTGTGTGTGTGGTGAGAAGTGGGTCCATGTCCGTGGAGCATGTTTGTGCTTTTAACCCCAATTTTGCTGGGGACTGACTTGTGAAGACCAGAAGGTTTGGGCCACACAGCCTTGTCCTGTGTGGGGTGGACACTGCTGTTTGCTCTGTGAATTTGGGACTGTGTTTGCCTCTCCTGAAACTTGCTTCGGGGCGTCTATGGGTTGGTGGGGCACGGCTGGATGTGGTGAGTGCCCAAGGTTGGCCGGCCACGTCTCCTGTGGGCGTGTCAGGGCCGGGAGGGCCGGGTGTGCTAGCCGGGTCCGGAGGGCGGAGGGCGGGGGGCTTCGTCCCTGAGCTTCAGATGACAGGAGTGGGAGTGCCTGGCTGCGGCTGGTGGGGGCGGGTAGGGGAGGTGCCTGAGGCCACTTCCCAGAGCTGTTCTCCGGCTCCTGTGCGAGCACTGCAGTGGGTGGGGAGGAGGGCGGGTGGGGGTGGGTGGGGAGGAGGGCGGGTGGGGGTGGGGGGGGCAGGCAGCCTTATCCTGCAGGGCTGCTTGTGTACAAGTACCACGCGGTCTGCCTGGCCCTGAGCCCCGGCCTGGCTGCCGAGTGGGCAAGGAGGCGGCGGCTGTTTTTAGATGAAGGTGACTTTACTTGAGAACATGGGCTGCAGCTCATGTGCCCAGAATCGAATTCTAACCTTTCTGGGGCTGTGGCCGAGTGTCAGCCGCCGGGCGTCCTCCTGGTGCTCGTGGGCGGAGGCTCCTGGTGCGGCCAGCGAGATGGGGTCGTGGGTGGGGTGGGGGGCTCTCATTGCCCCCGAGGAGCCTCTGTGGAGGCTTTCTCTTCCAGACAGCCCACCCCAGTGACATTTCAGTACAGACACAAACACCGTCAGCATCTGGAGGGGCCGCAGGGTCGTTCTGTCCAAAGCCTTTTGGTCCCTTTGGGAGGGACGCCGCCCGCTGAGAAAGTGGCAGACCCAGCGGTAGCACCGTGACCGGTGCAGATGGTCCCTGGGAGCCCAGAACTCCCGGGAAGGTGGGTGGGGCCCCCACCTGGTCCTCCTCTGCCCTGTGTGCCCTGCCCGGCCTGGCGGTGGGGTGTGGTGACTCAGGGGCCAGCCCTCTGCTAGCAGCCCTGGGTGAGGAGGATGAGGAGCGCAGCCCTGCAGGGTGGAGGATGAGGAGAGGGGCCGCTGCAGGGCAGGAAGGGGCTTGCCAGCTGGGCCGCCTCTGGCTGTGCTTCCTGCCCTGACTCACCTCGCCCAGCTCTGCATGTAGCTGCCGGTTTTGCAGTCTGGGAAATCTTAACTCCCAAGAAATGTAGGTTACCAGGAGGAGATCCCTTTGTGAAAATGGCACTGCCAGCCAGGCGCAGTGGCTCGCGCCTGTAATTCCAACACTTTGGGAGGCCCAGGAGGGTGGATCACGAGGTCAGGAGTTCAGTACCAGCCTGGCCAAGATGGTGAAACCCCGTCTCTACTAAAAATACAAAACATTAGCTGAGTGTGGTGGCAGGCGCCTGTAATCCCGGTTACTCAGGAGTCGGGAGGCTGAGGCAGGAGAATTGCTTGAACCCAAGAGGCAGAGGTTGTGGTGAGCTGAGATTGTGCCACTGCACTCCAGCCTGGCAACAGAGTGAGACTGTCTCAAAAAAAAAAAAAAAGAAAAAAGCCGGGCGCGGTGGCTCAAGCCTGTAATCCCAGCACTTTGGGAGGCCGAGACGGGCGGATCACGAGGTCAGGAGATCGAGACCATCCTGGCTAACACAGTGAAACCCCGTCTCTACTAAAAAAAAAAACACAAAAAACTAGCCGGGCGAGGTGGCGGGCGCCTGTAGTCCCCGCTACTCGGGAGGCTGAGGCAGGAGAATGGCGTAAACCCAGGAGGCGGAGCTTGCAGTGAGCTGAGATCCGGCCACTGCACTCCAACCCGGGCGACAGAGCAAGACTCCGTCTCAAAAAAAAAAAAAAAAAAAAAGGAAAAAAAAAGAAAATGGCACTGCCGGAACTTGTTAACTGCGCCTGCCTGGAGTTCACCTCCGGTGGTCGGGTGTGAACATCTGCTGTCCCTGTGGCATTGGGGCCTGTGACCTGTGCGCTGCCACGCAGCCTCGGGGCCGTGAGCATGCGTGTACACGTGTACGTGTTGTGGCGTGTGTGTCTGCAGGTGTGTGTCCTTGTATACGTGTGTGTTGTGGTGGTGCCTGGGGAGCCTGACTTCAGAGGCTGGTGTGGGGAGGGGGCTGCAAGGTCCCGGGGCGAGGAGGCACTCCCCATGCTTCCCGCTGGGCTGGGCTGCGCTGGGCTGGCAGGCGGGTGCCAGGCACAGTGTGAGGGTCTGTGTGGATTCCCTTGTGCTCCTTCGCGGCTCTGGGGGCCTTCCCTTGCATTTCGAAGGAAGGGGTGGCGGGTGGCCAGAGGTGAGGGGCCCTGAGGCCCTGCCTGGCTCCCAGCTTCACAAAGCCCCGCCTCTCTGGGTCACCGCCCTCAGAGACTGCTGAGGACACCAGCTCTCCACCCATGAGCCACCCTAAAGGAGCTGGGCTAGGGGCTCCTGGACAGAGGCCGCCTGCCCCTTTGGCTTTGGGGTTTGTTTTTCTCAGCAGCTCACCGGGTCTCTGGGGTGGGGCTATCGGGCAGAAGGCAGAGGACGCTGCCCTTGGGAGCTGAGCTCCCGGCAGCCCTCGGGGCTCAGGACTCCTGGCTGTTCCGCAGTTTCATGTGTTTTGTGTTTTGAAACCGTGTGTGGTCCCACAGTTGTGCCCTCAGAAGCCGCCGTGGCTGCCATGAGGTAGGAGTGGACTGGACGGCCACGGTGGCCCCCCCAGTCTTTCCCGTGCCTTGCTCTTTCCAGCCGGGCCCCATCACTCCCCACACGCGGAAAGGAAGTGGCTTCCCACCCGTCCTGGCCGGGAGTCCTGTGGCAAGGCCTTCCCCAGGGGCTGCCCTCCCAAGTGCCCTGGGCACTAACAGGCCCCCGCGCTCTCCCTGCAGCCGGCTTCGTCCAGGCGCCGCTGTCCCAGCAGAGGTGGGTGGGGGGCAGTGTGGAGCTGCACTGCGAGGCCGTGGGCAGCCCGGTGCCCGAGATCCAGTGGTGGTTTGAAGGGCACGGTCCCAACGACACCTGCTCCCAGCTCTGGGACGGCGCCCGGCTGGACCGCGTCCACATCCACGCCACCTACCACCGGCACGCGGCCAGCACCATCTCCATCGACACGCTTGCAGAGGAGGACACGGGCACCTATGAGTGCCGGGCCAGCAACGACCCGGACCGCAACCATCTGACCCGGGCGCCCAGGGTCAAGTGGGTCCGCGCCCAGGCAGTCGTGCTAGTCCTGGAACGTGAGTGGCAGGCACCGCCCTCCCCACCTCCTTCATTTTCCCTCCTGTGCCACTCGCCTCCTGGCTCCTGCTCCGGCTCCTGCTCCATAGAACCCAGACGCCTCCTCCCCTCTCCGTCCCGCTGTGCCCCATGGGCCCACCACCTGGACAGAGGGGCCTGGACCTGAAGAGGGTGGGCTCGCTGCTTGACCACCAGTGCTGGGCAGCCTGGCTTGGGGAGGGCAGGGCTCTGCCCTCCAGCAGGTGGGTCCTCGTCCTCCCCTCGACCCTCCTGGTGCCGTCTGTTCCGCCGTTCCTTTCTGCTCCCCTGGGCGCCTGCCCAGCTCCCTCCCTGAGCGTCCGTATTGCAAGCCTGAGGGGCCTCCAAGCTCAGCCCAGGCTTGCAGGTCTCAGAACCTTCTGTGTCCTTCGCAGCGTCTATTTCTAAGGGATTTTCACATTTCAGTTCCTAATGGGAATATTGTAAACTGACCAAGAACCAAGAGATTTGCTTGTTGGGGATTGGCAGAAGAACGGGTGCTCCCAGCACTGCTGGATGCTGTCAGCCTGGGGTCGGGGGGTGTGGAGCCACCTGGGTGCCTCCTAGAGAAGGGCATGGGAGCCTTGGCCAGGGGGTGCTGTGGCTATTTTTTTTTTTTTTTTTTCTGGAGACAGATTCTTGCTCTGTTGCCCAGGTGGAGCGCAGTGGCACGGTATCGGCTCAGTGCAACCTCCACCTCCTGGGTTCAAGCGATTCTCCTGCTTCAGCCTCCCAAGTAGCTGTGATTACAGGCACGAGCCAACAAGTCTGGTTAATTTTTTTGTACTTTTAGTAAGATGGGGTTTCACCATGTTGGCCAGGCTGGTCTTAAACTTCCAACCTTGTGATCCGCCCACCTCAGCCTCCCAAGTGCTGGGCCGGGATTACAGGCGTGAGCCACCGCGCTGGCCGGCTACGTTTTTAGAAAGGAATTTCCAGTTTGTGCTAGGGCTGCTCCAAGGGCCTGATGTCCTGGTCCTGGCTCAGGGACGTGAGTGGTGCCTTGTCTGTCCCCACACCCCGGTCCCAGCCTCGTGTGTCTCCGGGCGGGAACATCACCAGGCGGGGCCGCTCGGTTGCCAGCGCCTTAGCCCAGGGCCCGCCAGCTGCCGGCGAAGGGCGCCTTCCCGAAGGGGCCGCCTCAGCAGGCGCTTGTGGCTCTTCTCTTCCGGAGGCGCGGCCAAAGTTCCCCTTGGGCTTCCCGTCTTCGGGGTGTCGGCCATGGTGTTTTCGGGAGTGAAAACAAGCCCTTCCCGGGAGGAGCCACAGGTTCCTGGGGGTCAGGCAGGCAGCGCGGCCGTGCTCCTCCACTCTGCTGACCGCGTCTCGCCGGGCCTCGCAGCCGGCACAGTCTCCACTTCCGTAGAAAACATTGGCTCGAAGACACTCCTCACCTGCTCCTTGAACGACAGCTCCACAGAGGTCACCGGGCACCGCTGGCTGAAAGGCGGCGCGGTGCTGAAGGAGGACACACTGCCCGGCCAGAAAACGGACTTCGAGTGAGTGCCGGACCGCGGAATGCCACCACGTGCCCCTTCTCACAGCTTTCTTGCCGCGAGTGGCCTGTGGTCCGTGAGAACAAAAGACTGGTCGCCAGGCTTGATCCAGGCGGAAGTCAGGGGCCAGCTCCGCTCGGATCCCCAGAGGGAAACCCCAGGGAGGGGTCTGAGGGCGCCCTTGGGGGCCAGGTGGTTCCAGTAGTCCTGACAGGTGTCCCTGTTGCTCCCTCACCAGGTCCCGGGCACAAAGGGGCACCACACTGCCAGGTCCCAGGCACAAAGGGCACCACACTGCCAGGTCCCGGGCACAAAGGGGCACCACACTGCCAGGTCCCGGGCACAAAGGGGCACCACACTGCCAGGTCCCGGGCACAAAGGGCACCACACTGCCATCCTGGCACAAAGGCACCACATCACAGGTCCCGGCACAAAGGGCACCACACTGCCAGGTCCCGGGCACAAAGGGCACCACACTGCCAGGTCCCGGGCACACATGCAGGCCTCCCCGGCTCTGTGCTCCTGACACAAGAGGGCGCCACACTGAGGCCTGCCCGGCTCAGCCCCCAGATGCTGTCATGGCCAGAGCCTTGTCATCACTGGAGCTGGGACCGCCCTGGGAGCACAGAGCCTTTTGTTTTGAGGCTCACTGGGAAGACAGTCCCAGGGTGTGGGGTGCAGAGCAGGGACCAGAGGTGACGGGTTCGTCGTCAGGGAGAGGGGCCTGTTTGCTGGCTCTCTCACCTGGAGGGTCTTGCCAGCCTGGCTCTGTCCCTGGGGCCGTACGGGGACACCAGGAGTTTTGTTGACGTTCAGACTTGACTGGGACAGTTTGACTTTTTCACTGTGCCGTGGCTGGGCCCCTGGAGAGCCCTGGGTCCCGGGAGGCGTCCTGCAGAGCCGGGCCCAGCTCACCGCCTGCTGTGGTTGCAGGGTGGACTCCGACGACCTCTGGGGAGAGTACTCCTGTGTCTTCCTCCCCGAGCCCACGGGCAGGGCCGACATCCAGCTCGACGGTGAGTCCTGCAGCCAGGGGTGCCGGGTGCCGCCCACTTGTCGGGGGAAGCGGTTGGCCTGAAGCACCCGGCACATCCCAGAGCCCTGCCCTGCTCCGTGGAGGGGCACAGGCCTCGCGCTGCGGGGAGCCCTGCGGTTCCAGGCTCCTCTCTCTCATCCCTCCTGTCAGGCACCCCCAGAGTGAAGGCTGTGAAGTCGTCAGAACATGTCAGCGAGGGGGAGATGGCCGTGCTGGCCTGCAAGTCAGAGTCCCTGCCCCCCGTCACCGACTGGGTCTGGTACAAGATAACTGACTCTGGGGACCAGGTGAGAAGCCAGGGAGGCCGGGGGTCCCGGGCTCAGCCCTCAGGACCGGGGGAGGGGCCTGGGCCCGGGGTCCCGGGCTCAGCCCACAGGACCGGGGGAGGGGCCTAGGTCCGGGGTCCCGGGCTCAGCCCCTGTCCTTGGTCCCCCTAGGTCATCGTGAACGGCTCCCAGGGCAGGTTCTTCGTGAGTTCCTCGCAGGGCCGGTCGGAGCTACACATCGAGAACCTGAACATGGAGGCCGACCCCGGCAAGTACGCGTGCAATGGCACCAGCTCCAAGGGCACCGACCAGGCCGTGATCACCCTCCGCGTGCGCAGCCACCTGGCCGCCCTCTGGCCCTTCCTGGGCATCGTGGCTGAGGTGCTGGTGCTGGTCACCATCATCTTCATCTATGAGAAGCGCCGGAAGCCCGAGGACGTCCTGGATGGTGAGCCATCTGCCCTCCTGCCCACACGCCCCGCTCTTGGGGTGGTCCGGGGCCACTCCTGGTCAGTCCCTGCCAGCCCCACCACTGACCCAGAGCTCAGAAGCAAGGAGCCCCGGGCGGGGAGTTGATAGGACCCTGAAAGGCAGTGTGGGATGGAGCGTCCGGTCCGTCCCTGGGCAGCTGCGACTCTGGGCAGCGGGACCCCAGGAGGAGGAAGAGGCAGCAGCTTCACCCCACAGCCTCACCCGACCCTTCCCTCCCCCTCACTTGGCTGCAAGCCAGTGTCCTCCGTGGTAAGCCAGCCCTTGCTGCTCCGCCCGACCTCGTGGCAGCTGCAAAGAGCCCAGGGCCATGGTATCAGGGAGTCCTGGCCTCTGCACGATCAGGCTCGGGAACCTGAGGTCAGCCATGTTCGGCTCCGGCAGCGCCTGCGGCTCTTCTGCCACTCGGGCTGCGTGTTCTGGGGCGAGGCCTATGTGGGCCTGTGGTGGCGGCTCTTGGAAAGCACTGGGGGGCCGGAGTGAGGCCCATGAGGCCGTGGGGACAGCTTACCTTGGGGGGGGACAGCTCGCCATGGGGGGGGCACAGCTCGCCATGGGGAGCACACCGCAGGTGGGGAGGGCGGGTTTTCCCCGCACCATTCGGCCTCAGAAGATGCACACGCCGGGGCTGATGCGCTGCCCTGAGCCACCTGGAGGTCACTGAGGGCAGGGCCAGCAGCACAGATGTCCCTGCTCGGGGGCGTGAGTGGGACCAGCTCTGACAGGCTGTTCTCTCGTCCTCTCTTTCATGGTGGCGGTCCTCCTTCAGATGACGACGCGGGCTCTGCTCCCCTGTAAGTCCCAGCTGTGGGGTTCGGGGTCCCAAGGAGCTGCCTGCTGCCCCAGGCCTTTAAAACACAAAGAGCCCCCCGGCTTCAGTATTCTGGGGTCCTGGGGGCCGGGGTGGGCAGAGGTGACTTGGAGAGGGTGACTTGTCAGAGACAGCCTCTCACGTGGCCCCTCATGCCCCAGGAAGAGCAGCGGGCAGCACCTGAACGACAAAGGCAAGAAAGTCCGACAGAGGAACTCCTCCTAGCCAGGTGGGGCGGGCGGTCCTCCTGAGCCGGGGCTCCTGGGTCCCGCCTGTGGGCTGCTGGGAGGTGGGTCCAGTCTGAACGCCCCTCCCTGTCCCCAGGTGGCCCGAGGACGCTCCCCGCCCCCGCGTCTGCGTCGCCGCTGGAGTCCACTCCCAGTGCTTGCAAGATTCCAAGTTCTCGCCTCTTAAAGAAAACCCACCCCATAGATTCCCATCATACGCTTTCGTCTTTTTTAAAAAAGTAGGGTTTTCTTTCTACATTCAGGATTCTGTTCCTTAGGTTTTTTCCTTTGTGAGTATTTCTCGAGAGCCCGGGAGCTGCCGCGCCGCGGCCCGCCTGTGGCTTTCCGCCTCTGGGTCTGAGTCATGGCGGGTGGGCGGCGCAGCCTTCTCCCTGGCTGCGGAAGGTCACAGGTCACACGAGGGGCCCGCGTCCTGCCTGTCTGAAGCCAATGCTGTCTGGTTGCGCCATTTTTGCGCTTTCATGTTTAATTTTATGAAGGCCACAGGTCTGTGTTTGACTCAGCCTCAGGGACGACTCCGACTTCTTGGCCACAGAGGACTCACCTGCCCACACTGAGGGCAACCCCGTCACGGCCTCAAGTCTCCCCCAAGCCCCTTCCTTGCCTGTGCATCCGGGGGAAGCTCTTGAGAGGGTTTGCTGGGGAACTGGCGCCGTCGCTGGGACTCCAGAGCCGTGGACGCCCCTCCCCAGCTCGCCCCTCGAGGACGGCCCACTCTCCACAGCACCAGGACTCAGTGGGAGCCCCTGTCCCACCCACCGCCACAATAAAGATTGCCCCCACCCCCACCCTCACCCTCTGCTGGCTCCTGTCTGTGCCTGACGGGCTTGGGTCGCCCGAGAGCATGTTCACCCTGGGCTCTGGTGACCACAGCAGGGGTGGGTCTGGTGCCGGGACTTCACGTGTGAGGACGGGTCTGCTGAGACCCCAGTGGGTGTTGGGGGCCTGGGGGCATGGGCTGGACAGGGTCTGAAGCTGTCAGCTGGACTAGGAACTTGGAAGGCAGCTGGGACCGACCCCGTGCCTCAGAGCCACACAGCAGAGGGTTGGCACTGACCTGAGTCTTCTCTGAGCCTGTTACTCCTCTCGGCGTGCTTTGGGCCTGACAAAGGCTGAGGCTTTCGGCTGCCTGCCCCACAGCTGCCCACACCGACCCTCCTGGGCGGGCTGCTTGGGCATGGTTCAGGCGTGGTCCTGGCAGCTCCCGGAGAGCAGGTGTGTGAAGCTGGTTCCTGGAGGCTGAGGGATGCCCAGCCCCTGTCCGCCCAGCACATGGAACAGATGTGGCTGCAGGGCTGGAGAACTTGGGGGACCAGGAGCTTAGAGCGTGGAGGTTCAAGGCACAGAGCTAGTGACTGGGTGTGGAGGGAGGTTTGCAGCTGTCAGCCCTGTAGGCGAGCGTGGCACTGGGCCTCCTGCTGGTCTGAGCGGGGGTCTCGGGGTGGAGGTCAGCAGAAGAGGCTGGGTAGGAGCTTAGGGAGCCTGGGTGGGTTCCCAGAGAAGCCAGGAATCAGATGGGAAGGCAGTGTGTTCCGTGGTGGGGAAATCCAGCGTTTAATGCCACAGAAGCCAAGAAACGTGACCCACAGCCTCACCTCAGCTATGCAAAGCGGGCGTTGCGTCAACACAGTGAGGGGCCCAGGCGGGAGCCCCTCTGGGTGCTGATCCTGTGTGCTGGGCCAGCGGGGGACTGCGGTGCTCACATCCGGAGCTGCCCTCGGCCTGGCACCGCACAGCTGAGGCCGGCTCAGGGTCCCTGGCAGTGACCGCCTTGCTGGTTCCACAGCTGGGCCCTCCCCGCCGGCTGCCATCAGGCGGCACCACATGCCCATGGGGAGGGCGGCAGGTCCTGGAGCCCTTCTACCCGGGCAGCCTGGCGGCCCCTCCTGGGCTGAGACCGCGGAGTCCCAGGCATCACCCACTGAGTGTATGCTCAGTGGCCCGCGAATAGGGATGCCCGTTCTGTTTTCATTGAGTAGGCACCTGTGGTATACCTGGAGCTGGAGGTTGTGCGTGGACAACAGGCAGAAGGGTACAGTGGGATGGAGACTGCCAACAGGATGATGGGAAGGGGCGCGTTGGGGGGCATTGCCGGGCACATGGCCCAGGTGGGCCCCTGGCTCGGGTCTCCCCCCCACCTCCCTGCCTGGGCTCTGTCCATCTTTCTGCCGCACCCCCAGCCCCAGGCGTGGGCCCACGGTGCCTGTGGCCGCCTCATGCTCTGCACCAGGTGGAAGGTGTGAGAGTTGCAGGTCAGGCCAGCCTTGGGAGATGGACGGGTTTCTTGGGGTGGCGACCGGCAAGTGGGGAGCCTGGGTCCCTGCAGGGTCATCCGCCCGAGAAACCAGCCACTCACCCATGGTGCTTCCTTCATCTTTTTTCTTTGCACACAGAAATATAAGCCTGATTCGCAAAAATATAGCCGCTCAGCATGTATCTCTGTGCACCTGCCCTCAGCATTTGGTGTCCATGTTCATCGACAAGCATCCAGTGAGCACTGGGGTGTGCAGAGATGGGGCTTGCGTGTGTGGCTGAGACTGAGATGCCACCCCCTTTCCTAAGCCTCTGTTTCCTCAGCTGTAAGCTGGGACCACAGGCAACACGCACCACTCTGCCTGGCTCATTTAGTATTTAGTCAAACTGCAGATTTTCCAGGCGGGCTCAGTGCCTGCCCTGGCCTGATTTTGTCTTCTTGGTCTTACACTGCTTTTCACTCCAAAGCCCCCAAATTGTATAAGCTTTCAGGGCATCCGACTGGACCTGTCCTGACCAAGTGGGAAATGTAGGTCCGAGGTTATTTCGCCATGTTGGCCAGGCTGGTCTCGATCTTTAAATATTTTTAAAATTAAAATAAATAAGCATGGCCAGGGGGGTGGCTCACGCTTGTAATCCCAGCATTTTGGGAGGCCGAGGCGGGTGGGTCACCTGAGGTCAGGAGTTTGAGACCAGCCTGGCCCAACATGGCGAAACCTCGTCTCTAAAATTAGCCGGGCGTGGTGGCGGGCACCCGTAATCCCAGCTACTCTGGAGGCTGAGGCAGGAGAATTGCTTAAACCTGGGAGGCGAAGGCTGCAGTGAGCCGAGGTCACATCACTGCGCTCCAGCCTGGGCAGCAACAGAGCGAGACTCCATCTGAAAATTAATTAATTAATTAACAAATGCAGAGTACTCCAGCCTGGGCAAGGGGTCAGAGTGAGTGTGCTGAGGCCAGGGAGGGTCCCTGCCCACACTGACAGGCACTGGCCCGGGTAAGCCTGTGGGCTGGAGAGGAGTCTCCAGGATCTGGTGACAAGGACCCCGAGCCAGCCTCCCTAGTGACTTGCAGGTTCTGCCGGCGCCTGGAGGCGGCGTCTTTTTGCTTCTCCCACTGCCAGGCATGGGCGGTTCTCCTGCCATGCGGGTCCTGCCTCCTCCCTGCTCCCAAGCACGAGCACCAGGGCTCTGGCGACCTGCCCAGCCTGACATCTTCCCAGGGTGAACATAAAAGATCCCCCTTCAGCTGGAGCACGCATCTGCCTCGGGGCGGGCCACAGCCTGGCACTGCCAACTGTGCCACCAGCCCAGCCTCTCCCGCGACACCTTGGGACGAACAGCTGTCCTGCCTGCCTGTGCAGAGGTGGCCGGCGGGGCCGGTCGGCGTGGGGGCACAGGGATCCCCAGGGTGTGGGGCAGCTTGGCCGGGGCGAGCGACTCGGTCGGGCTCAGCCCATCCAGTGTCAACCGGGGGCATGCTGGCCCTCCCTCAAGTACCACTGAGTGCCTCCTGTGTGCAGGAAGGGGGCCATCTCTGCCCCGGTGGCCCCGAGGTGCAGGTGGGCAGGCGGCACCCGACACACGGCATCATGGCTGAGAGGACGTCAGGCCAGGTGCCAGAAGGGTCCCAGGAGGATCTCAGGAGGGTCTCGGGAGGGTCCCAGGAGGATCTCAGGAGGATCTCAGGAGGGTGCCAGGAGAGCGCCATGAGTGTCCCAGGAGGGCACCGGGAGGGTGTCAGGAGGGTCCCAGGAAGCCTCCTGTTCAGGTGGGGATGTTGAGCCTCCACTTCTTCGTGTGTGACTGTCTCTCTCCTCTCTCACTTGCCAACTCTCTCACCCACCCCATCCCGGCTGTCTGGTGGGCTGGGTGGGCTGGGTGGCTAGGGACACAGGCCTCATGTCACCTGGCACCAAGCAGCTCCCACACTCGGCCTGGCTGCGGCCCAGAAGCAGAGCCTTGGGAAGCACCTGTCTTAGAGCCGGAGACTGGGGGCACTGGGGGCACAGCCGCACCCTAAGCTTGAGGGGTCGGGGAAGGAGGCAGCCCCGGGGCAGAGGGCTCTGGTGCCTGTGCGAAGGCACTAGCGGGCTCTGGGTCTCCCTGTGACCCCAATCTAAAGCCCACCAGACCTAGAGGAGACCCCCGCCCGCACTGCTCCCCAGGGCACTGTTTGAGGGGTGGGTGGGCTTAGAGGAGACCCCCCACCCTGCACTGCTCCCCAGGGCACGGTTTGAGGGGTGGGTGGGAGCCCCACACCCTCGGGTGCCTCTTCTAGTTTTCCCTGTCAGTTTCCTCAAATGCAGACCAGGGAGAGGAGTGCCCGAGTCTCCCAGAGCGGCCCCCAAGCCGGCCCGCCCCTCCCCACGCACTCAGGGGTCCCTGCCCAGGGCCCACGGGCGACCCAGCAAGGGCTCCTGTGACCTTTAGAAACACGCTTTCATTGTGGGAGTCTTCAAACCTCCGGAAAGCAAGAGGCGCTGGCCGTGGCGGCCTCCCGTCTCCCAGGCCCGCGTGCACCCTCCCCGCGCCGGTGTCCTCCGGGCAGAGGTGGAAGCCGCGGCGCGGGAGAGGCGGCCCCGGCCAGGCAGCGGGGCTCCGTGACCTTGGGAGCGTCCTTACACGTCGCGGGCCTCAGTTTCCCCTCCTGGGGAGAGGCCCGCGCGGGGCTCGGAGGCCTCGGGCCGCGTGACCTTGGGGCGCCCCCGACCCCGCGGCCCGAGTTTCCCGGCGCCGGGCGGAGGCGGCGCGCGGGGAGGGGGCGCAGCCAGGCGGGACTCCCGCCCCCGCCCCTCCCCCGCCGCGAGGCTCCGCCCCCCGCGGCTCCGCCCCACCCCGCCCCCGCCTCCCCCCTCCCTCGGGCTCCGGCCGGCGGCGGCGGCGGCGGCTCCGCTCCGCACTGCCCGGCGCCGCCTCGCCATGGACGCGCGCGGGGGCGGCGGGCGGCCCGGTGGGCGCGACCCCACTTGCCCCGGGGCCGCCGCCGCCGCCCGCGCCCCCCCCAGCAGCCGCCGCCGCCGCCCGCCCGCACCCAGGCCCAGGCGCGCGCCCCAGCAGCGCCGGGCCCGAGGCGTTGCCCCTGGAGGCGGCGGACGAGGGCGACCCGCAGGGCCGGCGCAGCGCGACAGCTCGTGCGGCCGCCCGCTTGGGCGCGGCGAAGCACGGCAAAGGGCAACCCGCCCAGCAGCCGCCCCGGGCCGAGGCGTTGCCCCTGGAGGCGGCGGACGAGGGCGGCCCGCGGGGCCGGCTCCGCAGCCGCGACAGCTCGTGCGGCCGCCCCGGCACCCCGGGCGCGGCGAGCACGGCCAAGGGCAGCCCGAACGGCGAGTGCGGGCGCGGCGAGCCGCAGTGCAGCCCCGCAGGGCCCGAGGGCCCGGCGCGGGGGCCCAAGGTGTCGTTCTCGTGCCGCGGGGCGGCCTCGGGGCCCGCGCCGGGGCCGGGGCCGGCGGAGGAGGCGGGCAGCGAGGAGGCGGGCCCGGCGGGGGAGCCGCGCGGCAGCCAGGCCAGCTTCATGCAGCGCCAGTTCGGCGCGCTCCT